AGAGGCAGTGGAGGTTAGCCACAAAGGACACCTAGTGGGACGACTTATAACTATATAAGTATATATATGGGTTAAGTGCAAAAAAAAAATCCCCTCATATATAGGGTTTGTGCATAAATAATTTCTACTTTTTGAAATGTGCATTTAGTGTATAAAATAATTAAAAAAAGATACAAATAAACCCCTCTAACTACTTTTTGATCAAAATTGACATAAAATAAATTCAAAAACCCTATTTTGTTTTTGGGTTAGGTGCAAAAAAACCCCTCTACTATATAAAAACCCCCTATACTATTTATTTGGTGCAATTACCCCCGTGTCTGCATAAAAAGACATTAATACACTCTCTAATATAAATGAAATAATATTTAGAAAAATTAGACAATGTAAAAAATTCATGCTAAACAAAAATAGAATATAACCACTATTAATTTTCATTTAACCAGACCGAGCCTAAAAATTTCAAAAATTTCTATTAATTTAAGACCAATAACTTTAATTTTTGAATTTTTTTTTTCACATAAATTTTATACTAATAGTTACAAAATTCAATATTATCCAATTAAGATCATTAACCCTAAAATAAATATATTTAAGATATTCAATAAGTAATGACAAAACTATAAATAATTAATTACTAATGAATTCTGAACTAAATTAAAGATATATTCAAAAATAGAACTTTATTCTTCTTGATTCTTGATTATTACATTAAAATGGATTTTTTTTTTAATTTTTTATTTACTCATTGTAAAGTTAATAAATTTTCAACAAATAATGCATTTGGTTTATATAGTAATTATGATAAGTTTTAAGGATAATTACTATTCTTTATATTTGGAAATTACAATCATTGTAATTTCAAAATTGCATGCATTTGCTCACTTTACATTTTTAAGGGACCCAAAAGGGTGTTGTGGGTCCTACTTTCTTCAACTCGAGGGCAATGAAATTACTTTTTCGTACAACACTTATCGACCTGGTCTAATATGAATTCTTTTAAGAGAAAATTATGATATTGTGTGTGTATACACACATACGTATAATATATGATTTTTTAAATGAGGATAAAATGTCATTTTTTTATTTATTTATTTTTATTTAAAAGAGTTAAGTGTAAAAATCCCGCTGATATATAAGGTATGTGCAGAACTAGTCCTTACTTTTTGAAAATGTGCATATTAGTACATAAAATTTAAAAAAGGTGCAAATAAGCTCATCTGACTACTTGTTAGTCAAAATTGACATTAAATAAATTTAAAAACCCTAATTTACCCTTTTCTATTCCTATTCTACTCTTTTCTAAGGCACTGCTTCTCTCTTACATGCTTCTCTCTTACACCCCTCACCACTTTGCATCACAGCCACCGCCAAATCTTACGCCCCTCACCACTGTGCATCACAGCCACCACCAAAAACAGAGTGTAGCTGGCAACGCCCATCTCTTAAGATTTCTTCAACAATGAAACAGACTTTGTTGAAATGGGCAAGGATTAATTATTCTGTTGAGATAATTTATTATAGTTAAAAATAGAGGAAAGTGAAGCAAATGGACATTCTTTTATGTATGTGTACACAATATACAGAGTAAAGCAAGCAAGAATTTACATAGGTGAAGTTTCAGAAATCAAACAAATTATTGTAAAAAATAAAAAATAAAGAAATTGATAACCTTGTTTACTGAATCAAAACTTGTAGCAACACATCTACACCAACTGTTGCTCAAAATTTTAACACATCTTCTTGGTTAGGTCGCCGGTAGGAACCTAGAAAATTTTAGAGATCAACGCCGGCAAGATTACAAAGCTTCGGTGACCATGGCTTTGCAATCAGTTCAGGCGATCATTGTGAACAGCTCCTTTCCGGCGTGTTTCAGTTCTATCTCCGGTGAACACCATTGAAAACCCAAAACGAGTGAAGAATTTCAGTGTACAGTCCGGCAAGCTAGCTTCCCTTTGTATCAGTCCGGTGATGAGTACAGAGCTCAGTTCCGGCTAGCCTTGGGTGACCCAATTCAGGTGAGCTCCAAACGTACCGACGGCCACCCTTGGATCGGCGGCGATGAGGGCCTCTGCGACGGACTGATACAAAAATAATAATTAATGGTATCATTATCTCTGTCACTTTTGCAAGCAAGTTTGTTTGTTTGTTTTTTTTTTTTTTTTTCCATCATTTAATGCTGATATGGCGATTTCTCTCTTCAGGGCAGTTTCAATTTAAAAAGGCAATCTCCATTTTCATTCTCTCTCTTCCTCAGTTTGTAATTGCGACGTACATGTGATCTCACTGCACATGCTGTTTCATTCTCTCTTCCTCAGTATGTGCTCTGGACATGGTGAATCAGAGAGAATTTCTAAAATAGTAACATTGTCTGATTTTTTTACTATTATTTTGTTTTATTAACAAGAGGATATTAATATCTTTTTATGTAACGGAAGTTAATTGCACCAAATTAAAAGTATATGGGGTTTTATATCATACAGTAACTTTTTTGCACTATATAGATAGTAGAGGTTTATTTTATTTTATTTTATTTTTTTTACACTTAACTCTTTTTAAAATTTATTTTATGTCAATTTTGACTAAAAAGGATCGGAGTGATTTATTTGTATATTTTTTGAATTTTATAGACTGAAATGTACATTTTTAAAAAATAAGGAGCATTTCTGCATAAACACCATATATCATGGAATTTTTGCACTTAACCAAAAAATTTATATTAGAGAGATATTAATGTCTTTTTATGCTAATAGGATAATTGCACCAAATTGATACGGAACTGTTTTGCTCTCCCTCTCTCTCTCTCTCTGTGTATATATATATATATCCAATTAGGACAAAAACAGGCAACCAACAACAAAATTAGAGAACATAATACTTCTTTTGGTGCAATTGCATAGGGACACTTCGGATACAAGAAGGGGTCATCTCATATTGTGATGTACCTCGTCAGCTCTGTATGGGACACCCGACAAACAATTACTTAGGACTAGTCTCACTTGGTCGGCACGAACTTTACAGCATTTGCAATGTTGGACTTGTGGTCGGGGATATCACACGTGTTCATTTTTTAATGAATGATTCGGATTTTATTATTTGATAATGACAAATCAGTGTCTTAAAAGTTTGTTTTGACTTATAATCTAATATATTCATTGTCCATCTTAGCCTCTTGTTGGCGTTTGAGTTTGGAATTGACCACTCTAAACTACGAAATGATCCAGATCCAACTCGAATACAGTTATTCCAAAGTTATCAGCAAGCTAAAGAAGAACGAAGATTCAAAAACAGACTTAATTTTTAATATTAATCGTATTATTATTATTATTATTGAAGGCAATTTTTGGTGAAACAATAACGGTGCCTTATTATGACACACTGGTTACAGTTTTAGTAAAAAAAAAAAAAAAAAAAAAAAAAAAACTTTTTGTTATATATTTAATCATTTAATACCCCACTATTATTATTAAAATTCTAAATACTCGATAAAATGCAAGTTCATTATTACAAATTGCTAATCCATCTACAAGTAGACGTGTGTAATATCTATTATATAAATTCAAAAGAAAAAAATAAGAAAATTGTATTATATAAATTCAAGAGAGAAAAAAGAAGAAAATTGTATTAATGTCAGTCAGGTCTAATAAAAAATAAAGTATTATAAAAACAGGAAGGAAAATTAAAATTTTTGAAAAATTAAAACAATTGCTAAAGAGAAATTAATTTTTCTTTTTCCTCATATTATTTTTTCATCTATTTTATTCACACTGTACCATAATACCATTCTCTTTTTTGGATTCTATTTTTTCAAAATATATACACATAGATTAATATTACATTAAATATTATATTTCAATTGTTTATACTAACTCCGTCTCACGTTAGAGGTCCATTTTAAAAAATGGGAAGTTTTAAGGAGACATGCATTGTCTACTTTTAAAATTATCAATTTGTCCCTTCTAATTTAAATATATATAATTACAAAGTTTGAAATTTTTTAAAAAGTTAAGGATAATGATAAAAATATAAAATTGATTTATTTAATTTTTTAAAGAGTACAACTAATTTAGGAAATGTAAAAGACAAAAATAGATTACTAATATGGGACGAGGGTGTAATTTTTTAAAATTACACAGTACTTCAAAGCCAAAATTGCCGACAACACAGTACTTAGAAGGAAAAAAACATTCTTGGCGGCGGAGCTTCACAAGCTGGTGTTTCGTCTTCAATCCAATGCAGTCTATGTTCATCTCTATCTCTCTAACTCTGTGGAATGTCCTTTGTGTTTGTTCTCATTAACATAGAATTTTGTGCCAGTATGTCTCTCGTGGCAGGTTATATATTCAAACACTCTGCATGTCATATAATTCTCTCAAACTCTTGGGGAGCATACGTGACTTCAACTGGTTTCTTGTTGATCAAATCCATTCTTTGGATCTCTTTACACAAACGTGGTCGGTTTAAAACTTTTGATTCTGATTTTGTTCTTCCTGTGTTTTTTTAATTTGTTGCATTTTAAATGAATGTTATTTTATTCTGAAACAGTTAAATGAAATATTAGCTGATGGGTTTGGATAATTAGCTTCATTTCTACTTTAATTTTGGTGATTATGATGATACAGTAATGCTGCACCAGTTAGTGTGTGCTCAAATAGTATACATGAATTTGTATGTGTATATATGCCAGACCACTAGAATCAATTGATCTTAGGTGAGGTACTAGATGAACTTTATCTTTCGTGAATATTAATTTTGTTGATTTATATGGTATTTCTAAGAAAAATGTAGATCAGAGAAATGAATAAAAGCTTTAAATTTTGGCTAAAGGGGTTTGTTTAGCTATTCATATACAATTCTGTGGCTTTTAAATGTGAGAGGAATATGAAATGCAGATACGAAATATTTGTGTTTTCATTACCTTTTTTCAGTTAAGTTTCCAAATATGTGGGTTTCTTTTCCCAGTGTTGGCTAGGTTTTGAAGGAGCCGAACCACAATGGACATGGACAAGACAGCAATTGCACTCGAAGCTATCAGCAAAGAAGCTATTGATTTGGTACATATGTTAACATTACTGTGTTTTTATGGTGCACCTAATTATGATTTAAATTGTTCCATAATTTTGATCATTGAGATCATGTATCTGCAAATTAACCGGCATCATTGTCAGTCTAAAATGTGCCACAATTACTTGTTTGGTGATATAATCTTACGAATGCATACTCAGTAAGGCACCCTCGCTTCTTGTCAAATAGCTCATCTCTTTAAGGACAAAACCAGTATTTTGGAATAACCATGTTTTTTTATTTTTTATGTATGTGATGTCGCCAACATGGCTTTTCGGTGTCCTTGCTATGTGGAGATGCACAAATTAGCAGCCTCCCATTTATTGCTGGATCTGAATGAAAACATTATCCTTGTTGAAGCGAGACCGGATAGAGACTTGTATAAGATTTGAAAAGTCCATTTAAGCTTATAATACTTCATTCCAGTTACAAGCATTATGATTAATATGTTTATTAGTTTCTACAGCAGCAACACAGAATGAAAGAAAGGAAAATTTCATTTCTGATAATTTCTTAGCGGCATCCTGTATAATATTAATAGTATATACGAACTGGCAGATTAGATTGTAATTCTTGTTGCAGAATCAATTATATTAAGTGATGACTATTCTATCACCAATATCAGCTTCCATGTCTGAGCTTGAGAGTTCATTGCTATAGCTCAACCTCTAGTACTAATTTGCTAACCTATCATTTTTCCATGGCAGGAGAACATTCCCATCGAAGAAGTTTTTGAAAAGTTGAAATGCACTAAAGAGGGTCTCAAGTCCCATGAGATTCAAAAGCGTTTGGACATTTTTGGACAAAACAAACTTGAAGAGAAAAAGGTATCTTGTAATTTGATTCAGCTCGTGTTTCTCTTGTATACTTGTATTACTTATTTTTATATTAACCTTAAGAAGACAATTTTCCTATTTTTCAGTTTCCACCATGTCTCTAAACTTGTTAATCTGTCATTTTTTTCGCAGGAGAATAAAGTACTCAAGTTTTTGGGCTTTATGTGGAATCCTTTGTCATGGGTTATGGAAGCAGCTGCCATCATGGCTATTTCTCTAGCACACGGAGGAGTAAGTCCACATAAATCTCTCATATTATTTTGCAAATCTCTATTTACGAAATTTAACTACAATTCAAAATTTATGATTGCTGTTATAAAACTTATGTGCACAGGGAAAGCAAACGGATTACCATGATTTTGTTGGCATTCTGCTGCTACTTATAATCAATTCGACCATAAGTTTTATTGAGGAAAATAATGCCGGAAATGCAGCTGCAGCCCTTATGGCACGGTTGGCTCCAAAAGCTAAGGTTTACTTCGCAAAATTTTGGGATTTATTTCCACTTCTTATTCTTTTCAATTTTATTTTGTTGCACTAATAGCATTGCTTTCCTTGCCCTCGTCCTATTTGAAATTTTTTATGTTGCTTTGGTTTGAAATCTATTTGTTCTTGTCAGGTTTTACGTGATGGAAAGTGGAGTGAGGAGGATGCATCTGTATTGGTTCCAGGAGACATTGTTAGTATCAAACTAGGCGATATAATTCCCGCTGATGCACGGCTTCTTGAAGGAGATCCTCTGAAAATTGATCAAGTATGTAGTCATATTAGTTCATAATACCGATGATCAGTAGCTTATAGTTGCTTATGTATTGGTTGGTGTTATTCTGTTTGGAGTTTGTACTGATGAGATGGTTAAGAACTATAATTTAATATGTTAAATGGATATAATTAAAAATGACAAATATTGAAATGTTTTATATCGTTCTCGTTTTTTTACATTATTAGAGCATAATGAGTTCAAATTTATAAACTTGCAATCTAGAACATTTCCCCTTAAATGAACGGACAATATTTTCACTGATTGATCAGTTAGCTATTGCTATTCTTTTCCCGATAGGAGGTCACATGTATCAGACAAACTTGGGCACCCTGCTTAAAGTAAATCCTTTGAACATTAATCCAATGTCCAGTGATGTTAAGCTGTGATATTGCTAATGGATACATCTTTCAATCTGATAATCAACCATTTTTATGATACTGAAATTATTGTTGTTATATTATGAAAACAATCTAGAGTCAAATAATTGTAAGCAAGATGCATGTTTAAATTTAAGTAATGTATAAGGGAAAATAATTCATGCCAATGTTCCTATAGAGGGTATATATGTATAGACTACCATTCATGTACTTTTAACATCTATAGAACACCAGGATGAAGTAAATTTATACAAGAAGTTTAACTTCACTACTGGTCAATACGTTAATGATCTAAGAAGCTTGAAGCAAGCTATCATCCATGTATACCCTATATGTTTGTTGGATAGTACTTCTTTTAAATAAACTGACCTAAATGTTTATGAAAGCAACTTAATAGATTCTGCGAAATTGGCCTTTATGCATAATTACAAAAACTTACACAAACTGTATATTATGATAAAGTAGACTGTAGGTTTATTAGATCAACAAAAAGAAGCAAAGATTAAAAAAAGATTCCAATGTAATGAAATTTGAGATTTTAACAACATGCTCAATAATTTACTCTAAATAGTTAATATTTTTTATTGGCAAGGCTTGAACCTAACATGCTTACCTCCCCTCTCCCAACCAAAAAATAAAGTTCCGCACCTTAGACCTCCCCAGCCTCAACCACCCTTAACACCTGAGCCAAGGCCTAGGGGCAAATAGGATTTCGTAGATGAGAGATTAAATTGAAGCTAACAATGGGTTTTCACTTGATTTTTCAAGATCATTTTAGAAAATCATGCTTTATGTGTTTGCCTTGAGCTTCCGTATTGTAGCCAAAGAGTTATGTTTCAATGTGTTCCCATGGTAATGTTGTGGCATTGCTGAATTCAATAAACTTTGGATTCTTTGGTACACAAAACCAACTGCTTAACTAAAAATTTACTATATGTTTCGTAAATGATGAATGTGCCATATACCGTCCCTAGTTTTTCCCATGTAACAGACATAAACAGTTAAATGTTTGCATAACAATGATTTATTGAAGTTAATTGTCATACTTAAATCTCCAGGGTTTTGATCATGTAGTCTTCATTTTCAGTCTGCCCTTACAGGAGAGTCGCTTCCGGTAACCAAAGGTCCAGGTAGTGGGGTATACTCAGGTTCAACATGTAAACAAGGTGAAATTGAAGCAGTTGTCATTGCAACTGGAGTTCATACTTTCTTTGGAAAGGCAGCTCATCTTGTGGATAATACTACCCATGTTGGGCATTTCCAGAAGGTTTGTTTTAGAAACTCCTTATATCTTGATTATACGCTATAATCTGACGATCCATATACTGGTGGAATTTTAACCTTTTCCTGGTGTTGCTAGCGTGAATTAAATGACCTAACATTAGCATTCAGTGACAAGAAAGATTTATATGTGATGCTTATAGACCAGTAGAAACTATAACACGTGAGGGTCCTGCATGTAACATGTGAGAGAGAATCTATAATTGCTTATTTTCATAATTTTCATTTTTCTTGATGGTTTCAGGTATTGACTGCAATTGGCAACTTCTGCATTTGCTCAATTGCCATCGGGATGTTAATCGAAATAATAGTAATATTTGGGCGTCAAAAGAGGCCTTATCGTGAAGGTATAGATAACCTTCTCGTTCTACTCATTGGTGGCATCCCCATTGCAATGCCAACAGTTCTTTCTGTTACCATGGCCATTGGTTCCCATCGCTTCTCTCAGCAGGTTTGTGAAGCTTTCATTGATATACTGTTGCATATAGTGCCATTGCCTCAAACTCTCTTCATTAATGTATAGATAATATTAATTTGTAGACGACTTTTTTCTTTATATTTTTATTAGATTGGCCTTAACTACTTGCTTGTTATAGATAAGACCAGATATTTCTGGTTGTTGCTCTTGCATTTTGTAGCTAGCTATTTTGTTTGAGAGCTCTCTTAGCTCTTCCTTTTTTTATTGTATCTAGTAAAAATCTTACTTTTCAAAAGAAAAATGCGAACGATTTGAGATAATATACATCAACTTTTTGTGCAGGGTGCCATAACAAAGAGAATGACAGCAATTGAGGAAATGGCTGGGATGGATGTGTTATGCAGTGACAAAACAGGCACTTTAACTCTTAACAAACTTACGGTTGATAAAAATATGATTGAGGTCGTATCTTTGTTCTCTCTTTATTGCTTAGTTTGCCTGACTAACATCGAAACAAACTCTATAACATAGCTTCGCCTATAGAAACTAGGCTAAAGGCATGCTCTTCTTACAATATTAATGTTGCGTGCTACAAGTACAATCCTATAAGGAAGATTTTTCTACACTAAAATATTCAAGAGAATTTGTAAAAATTTGATTGTATTCCTGCTAAATATCTTCCTGATTGTTAGTTTTGTAACTAGGCACAACACTCTAAAATAATTTTTTTTCTTATCTGGAGTACATAAAGACTGCACATGCGAGAGATGCATGGTGTTGTATGTAGAAGAAGAATGAAATCATTCAGACTTCCGCTGCTTTACTTTTTCTTAGAATTAATGTTGATGGATATATGCGTAACAATTCACCACGTGAGAGCTTGTATATTAAGAATCGTTTATGTCTTCCATGTCACTACAGGTTTTTGCCAAAGATGTTGACAAAGACATGGTCGTGCTGATGGCTGCAAGAGCCTCAAGGTTGGAGAATCAAGATGCAATTGATACTGCAATTGTTTCAATGCTGGCTGATCCTAAGGAGGTATTATTTCATACGGAGTACTGATTAGAAAATTTCGGTAACTATTGTCTGAACTTGAAAATGAGTATACATCTGATTTTAGTAGTCCAGTTGGAAGCTGTTTGTTTTGCATAACCTCTGGCTTAATTATATTTGCATCCATTGAGGATTGACTATTTAAGTTTATATTTTAACTAGTTTAGCAGCTTGCTAATATTGAATTGCTTTCCTTATGGCTGTAAAATGTGCTCAAAACAGGGATAATATATTCTGTTAATCTCTTGTTAGGCACGAACTGGAATTACAGAAGTTCACTTCCTTCCGTTCAATCCAACTGACAAGCGGACCGCACTTACATACACAGACAAATTGGGTAATATGCACAGAGTGAGCAAAGGTGCACCTGAACAGGTACAGCGTGTATCACTTTGAGATGTTAAATTTTTATCAGTTCATGACTACTTCAATGTATAATGATAGTTCATGGATTTTACCGGTTGTGAAAACATGAGTAATTGTTTGAATAATCTCATCTCCAATTATTACAACTAGAGGACATGACCAATTAATTAAATTGCCCAATTTTCATCTTTTTCTACCTTAGGGTATAATGAAGATTTCAAGATGCCATTGTCAGAAATGGGTAATTCACTCACTTAGATATATAGTGAGGCAAAAAAGAGGCAGGTTAAAAAGATATCCAAACAAACTTGTAATAAACTAGGAATGTGTTCTTATCTTCCTTTGTCAAGAACTCTTCTTTGGTATGTGTCCTAGGGTAGACGTTCAGAATAATATCATGTCACTTTTGGCACGACTATTTCTCACAATTTTAACTATCCGTGTAATACAGCCACATGCTCAAGTATATTGAACTCTTTTTATGTGTGACTTTTAGATTCTCAATCTGGCAAAGAACAAATCAGAAATTGAGAAAAGGGTGCACTCAATAATAGATAGATTTGCAGAGCGTGGACTTCGATCCCTTGGAGTTGCTCGCCAGGTAATTAAGCTTTTATTCACTCAAGCGTATCGTTAAAGTATTATTCTCCATTGCCTTCATGGATGAAAATTATATATTTTGTACAGAAAGTACCTGATGGTAGCAAAGACAGTCCTGGTGGACCCTGGGAATTTATTGGTCTTCTCCCTCTCTTCGATCCACCTCGTCATGACAGTGCTGAAACAATTAGAAGAGCTCTAGATCTTGGAGTGAGTGTCAAGATGATCACAGGTGTGCATCACAACTGTTTAGCTCCATTATTTAACTAATGCAACTTTTTTTTTAAGGTATTTACAATTTTGAGACTTGGTTATGCTGTCAAGAGCCTTTTAGTTATCAAGAGATCAAAAGGGGTCAATTTATAAGATGAGGTTGTAATTAGATACTCTTGTGTCCCCCCGCAAATGGTGGGTGTGTGGCATGTGGAGTAGATTGGACACATAAATAGAACTACCCTTTGGCATTATTAAAAAAATTTACTGCTATCATATAAAAATGAAAGAAGTTCTTCAAATCGGTTGCTTGGTTGAGTTTGAACTTATCCAATTTGACTCAGCTAAGATTTTAGTTTGATGTAAAATTTTGTCCAACTGGTTCTTTTCAGATAAATCTGCCACTTGCTGCAATTGCTAAAATTACATGCTTCTCAATTTTTTCCCTATGGGTCAATTTTTAGGTGATCAACTGGCAATTGCTAAGGAGACAGGGAGACGCCTTGGAATGGGCACAAACATGTACCCTTCATCATCTTTGCTTGGCGACCATATGGATGCATCAGTTGCAGCTCTCCCAGTTGAAGAGCTCATTGAGAAAGCTGATGGTTTCGCTGGTGTTTTTCCTGGTAATTATATTAGCTATTCATGGAACCTTGTGAATCTCCTTTTATATCCCATTTCTAAATCCCCATACTTTCATGCAGAGCACAAATATGAGATTGTGAAGATATTACAAGGTAGAAAACACATATGTGGAATGACGGGTGATGGAGTGAATGATGCACCTGCATTAAAGATAGCGGACATAGGAATTGCCGTGGATGATGCAACGGATGCTGCTCGAAGTGCCTCTGATATAGTTCTGACTGAGCCTGGGCTGAGTGTAATCATTAGTGCTGTCTTAACAAGCCGTGCCATCTTTCAAAGAATGAAGAACTACACAGTAAATTTTTTTATATGTCATTCCTAAAGGAAGTGAAATGTTTGTTAAGATGTAGTTTCTTGAATATAAATGCTGACGTTCTTCTCCTTTCTCCCCAGATATATGCAGTGTCTATCACGATACGTATTGTGGTACGTGATCCTTGGCTACTATTTTCCAAAATTTGAACTACATGGGAAGTTTAACAAGTGTACCCACTGCAGTAGTAATTTCTAATTGGCATCTTGATTTGTAAACAGTTGGGGTTTTTGTTGCTGACTGCCTTTTGGGAGTTCAACTTCCCTCCTTTCATGGTCCTTGTCATTGCCATTCTTAATGATGGTAAGCATTACTACTCTTTAAGTTCCATTGTCTTTCATGGTTAACAGCAAGTGTTTGCAGTTTTATGACCATTGTATTTCTTGTTGAGCTCTTGATTTGCGTTTTGATCATCTTCTAGATATATCTCACGAAGAACTTGTTTCCAGGCACTATCATGACAATATCTAAAGACAGGGTTAAGCCATCTCCACTTCCTGACAGTTGGAAGCTCAGTGAAATTTTTGCAACTGGGATTGTCATAGGCAGTTACCTCGCCCTGACGACCGTTTTATTTTTCTTTGCTGCTTATGAAACCAGTTTCTTTGCGGTAAATCGTGTACCTTGTCTCACATCTTCTCCTCCACATTCTCAGATATATTTCTGGTGAAGTGAACAAATTTTACTGGTGTATATAAGTGAGAACTGCACAAAGATATCAATTTTGCAAATTTGTCTGGTCAATCATAAGTAATGAAACCAATTTATTTAGGCACCAGGGTGTGTACTTCAGCTGTGTGAAATATTGAAAAAGGGACCAAGATGAACACTTCTAATCCTTCTCATTTTTCTTCCTCAGAAACATTTCCATGTAACAGATTTCAACAAGAACCTTTACAATCTCAAAGATGCCGCCACATCCAAAGCTCTGAATGCACAGCTAGCATCTGCTGTATACCTTCAAGTTAGCACCATAAGCCAGGCATTAATATTTGTGACGCGCTCTAGGGGTTGGTCGTTCATGGAAAGACCCGGTCTTCTTCTCGTCTCTGCTTTCCTCATTGCTCAGCTGGTAAGAAAACTTACTTTAGGTTCCACATATAAAGATAATAGAGAATAATTACATATATTAAATTTTATGGGAATTATGTGCATGCTTCATGACACACTCTTCAGATTTTAAAGTCAAACAGAAGGGAAGAGAGAGAATGACACCTTATCCAAATTTTACAAATGCCTTCCTGTTCTTTTAGCATCTACAAAATATGCTCTTAAATATTATGAACTTCCTTCACCCCATGTTTTTGTAAATTATATTTGAAGGGCGTGTTCTAACTTTCATTTATTTATTTATTTATTTTCATTGAGTATAGTTTCTTTATGCGATTTACTTCAGTTTTGATGCTTAGTTCTGAAATTGATTATGCACTCTCTTTGTAGTTTGCAACTTTATTATCTGCAGTGGTTTCATCGGATTTTGCTGAGATTAGAAAGATTGGCTGGCGTTGGACTGGTGTTATTTGGCTGTACAACATATTAACCTACTTGCTTCTTGATCCTATCAAATTTGGTGTCCGATATGCACTCAGCGGGAGAGCCTGGAATCTGCTACTAAACCAAAAAGTGAGTGAAACTGAATCACAATCATATTTATTTAATTGTTTGTTGCTGAGATAATCCATATGCATTTCAAAATTTAATGATGATTTAGCTCCAATATTCATTAGTTCCATTGACATAATTTGCTTTTAGTGGGGTAAGATTATGATGTTTTACTGTAAACCTATTTTACCAGACGGCTTTCTCCACCGCAAAGGACTTTGGTAAGGAAGCTCGCGAGGCGGCATGGGCAACCGAACAGCGGACCCTTCATGGCCTCGAGTCTAAGGGAAAAAAGTTGTTTGCTGAACCACACACTTTCAGGGACATCAATATCATGGCCGAAGAAGCCAAAAGGCGTGCGGAGATTGCAAGGTCAGTCTCTTTCTTGAATTTCTTACTTAAGATTCATACTCTACAAGGTTACGTAATATCCACTTTCCTGAGTAGACTCCAGTAGTATCTCTCAAATGCGTTAGTTCAAACCATCTCTACTGTAGAGACTAACTCAGGATTATAGTGAGCATCCTCATGCTCAAAACCTGTATGAAATCATGATTCATGGATTATGGGAGAAACTACTAGAAACTACTTGAGGTCATTTGATTTGAACGCTAAAAAACCCCTTGAAAGTATATATGATATTCTCTCATTTTTTTTCCATATCGCTTGTGCTCTTGAAGAAGGGAAGACCACAATTATTTCAACTCAGAAAATAGAGGGTCTGTTTGTTTCAGTTTTTTGAGAATAGTTTTTTGTTTTTTTTTTTTAAAAGTGAAAAGCATAAAACCGTTCAAAAGTTTGTTTATTTGATAGTGTGACGGAAACTGTTCTATGAAAACCTTCTCAGAAAAGCAAAAAACCATTCAAAAGTTCATTATTTGATAGTGTTATGGAAATTGTTCTATAAAAACCGAATTAAAAAAGGTCTAATTTCTTAAAAGTGTCTTTTTAGTTATCTTTTTTTTAAAAAATAATAAATAATAAAAAATTGAACCAAACAGGGCAGAGTATGCCATTACATTTATCCCAAATTTCATAAGCTATAGAGCCTTCAAGTCTGAGAATAGTCAATTGGTGAGGATGATATATATATATATATATATATATATATATGTATGTATGTAAGTTTTTGTATCCATGTAGACAGGACTTCTTCGAAAATAGCATTTTAGTTGCAGAAGCTTGTACAATTTGGATGCCTTAATTTTAATACCACATGTATGCATGTTCCTACACAACCTAAAACTTGTAATTTTAAACTCTTGCCTTGCAGATTAAGGGAGATTCACACTTTAAAAGGTAGGGTTGAGTCCTTTGCGAAGCTAAGGGGCTTAGATATTGATGTCAACCCACATTATACACTCTGATCGGCATTTTGGCCACGACTGTCTTTTTTATTGTTGTTCATTTCGGTATCTGATTTTACTTTTTTATGTAATCTTCCCCTCCTGTTTTTTTTTGGTCCATCATTGTTTGGGGGTTTAATTGTGCACAAAGCTCAGACATTCTGATCATCATCAATAACAGAGCTGTTCTAATTTTCAAGTTAAACCATCTCTGCATGCAGTCCCTTCATTAATATTTCAGTATAATAGTTATGGCTTTTCTTTTTTCGTCAGTTTTTTTTTTTTTTTTTTTTTTTTTTTGGGTAAATAGAAAATATTTATTAATAACAAAAAAAATTATACGGAGTAATAAATAGCACGCATTTAGCATTTGTAAAATGTAATGGCTTCACGGATGCATTGATTGAGGGTACCTTTTTTATTCTGAGCAATTTGGATGGTTTCTCATTGTTGGACGTCCAAATAATTCACGTGGTGAAATTAACGAATGATATTGATCCATCTTTTGTCACTCAAGATGGGAATTGGTTAGAAGATAAGTGTAAACAATTATATATTTTATATATGATCTTGACTTCAACATTTGGTTTATGCAACTTATGTCATTATCTCCCCTGTATATGATTCCTCTCTCTCTTTTTATTTTTTATTTTGTGATAGCAACTATCCTTTGGTGCAATAATATTTTTTTGCGGGGCCAAATATGGACAAATACATCTAAATCCCTTTTACAAAATAGAGAATATAATTGTCCTTGCAAAATACATTATAGAATGAAAGTAATGGAACTAATTTATTGATTGAATATATTTCTATCTTATAATAATTGTTTTTAGAAAAAATGGAGTATTACATTGGGTAGTCGAAATCAATGTACATAAAAATTGGAGAGATTCGAACTCTCTATATTTTATTTTTAAAAAAGAGGAGATATCATTAGACCATAAATTTTGATAATCGTGAAAAATAAGTCACCCACCCATCTATTCATGTGAAAATTTAATACTTCAATTTTTTATTTTGAGAGGTAAAAAGAGATCTATAAGGTACAACCTGATAATTAAGGTCTTATATACTACCTAATCTTGGGCCTTGACAGGAATTTTTAATTCAAATAATATGGGCTTGGGTCCATATAATGGTTCCCCTTATTGGTTTGGGCTGGACCCATGTCTGCCACGGGGGAGACACGTGATTACCATCATAATGTCCTTATCCAACCAATTCTCATCATCACACTGTTCACACCTGGATATCACAATAAAAAATAAAATATTTGATATGCTGATTTTGTAACATCTTTCTTGATATACAATCTGATTTGTAGTCCATTAGATATAAGGTTGTGATAGCAAAACTCAAATAGGTTCAAATGTAGGTTTTGATCTTATCTCATTGTCCGTTGCTGATATTGTATTGCAAGATATTAGTGTAGTCCAATGTAGCTCACGGTAAAACCTCTTGGGATACTCAGAAAGGTCAGCCAGATATCGGCAAATCCCGTGCTTTTCATGCGCTTCACACATTTTTAGTTGACAAAAATTCAAAACTCCACGCGCGTTTCTAAAGTGTGCATATCACATGGTGACTATTAAAAGAAAAAGGTGTTGGTACTAAACTTCACATGGTGACTATTAAATTACAATTAAGCCATCGATGCTCATTCTCTCTCTCTAAAGAAATGAATCACATTCTCATCTCAATTTTAGTGGAGCTCAATCTAATGCTTTTGTATTGCCAGAAAAAAAAAAAAAAAAAAATTAATAATGTTGCGCCTATTCGACTTTCAATTATTAGATAATTGTGAATTATGTGATATATTTTGATCAAAGTTCATAAATTGAAAAAAAAAACTATTCACATAAGTGTGATGATATATTATAAGGAGTTGAAAATTTAATCTCTGAACGTCCTTTTTTTATTTTATTCTATTGTACTTGCATTTTGAAGTCCTTTTTTTAATTCCCTTACTAAAAAAATCCTTCCCATCTTTTTCTACGGCTGCCATAGCCTTCCATTCCCTTTCTCATCGCTACTACTATTTTCACCGCCTTCTACCATTTGATTATCATTTTATTCATTCAACATTTCATATCTCCATTTCATTTTCATTCACTCCATTTTTTTGTGACCTATCAAAATAGGCCTAAGTTCATACACAGTGATCGTAAAGAACTTAAGGTTACATAATCCTTCTCACACAGGTGTGAAAGCAGCTTTCACGTTCTGCGTCCGCTCCCACTTTCGCTCAAATTCTCACTATTTATAAATTAATTCTACCGCTTTCTCTCAAATTCATACACATTGTGATTGTGAAGTCTAACTTAAGGTCACATAATTCTTCTCATACAGGTGTGGCATTTACGCTCGTTTCGCTCTAGTTCTTCCTCTCACTTTATGTGACATGACAGTGTGACACCATGGCTTCCCATTTTTTCACTATTCCAGGCTCCTAAAAGACGCGTTGTACTAACACTGTCATTTTTAAGACTCTCTCTCTTCCTCACAAATTCCATTTCTGTTACTTTCCGAGAAAAAAAAAAAAAATTCCATTTCTGTTACGAGACGTTATTTACTCCCTCGTTTTCTTCGTTTCCATTCGAGCTATACACACTCATCAGGAAGATCTTTCACGTTGATTTTATGCGTTTGTCACTCCCACACAACGACCCATTTCAGACCACAAGCTTAACAACATATCCACATGATTTAATCCCTACTCATTTAGGATAATAATTCACGAGCTCAATCATGTCTTTAATGCCTTGTCTTCATCTAATGTTTATTCAAAAAGTTTCCTAGCCTTCGTTTCATTGTATACAAATCTTTAGTTGCTCCGACAGGCGAAGTATCCCAAGAATTTTCTTGTTCTTAAGCGTGCAATTCAGAGAAAAATCCAGATATTTCTAGAGAAAATTTGAGATAGTCATTGACTACCCGGGAAAAAAAAAAATGAGATAATCATTGTTTATATTAAAATCCTGGCTATTTATACATTCAGATTTTGATTTCATTTGAAGAATTAATTGTAGTGGCAGTGAAGTAGTTGAGATTTGCAAGTTGATTTTAATGGAGATGAAGCTTTTTTATTTGAAGTCCATATCTGGTTCTAAACTAGTTGGTCCAGAGATGATGTTTTCTAGCCCATCTCTGAACTCAAATCAGCTGTTTGGTGTCAAAATCTCTCCACAGTCATGTTCTTGCAGAGGTAATTGTTTTGCTTTCCATTGTTGAATTAGGATTTTCTTTTTGTGCTTAATTGGGTTTCTGAGAAAATCAGAAAAGAAAATAAAACTTGGGTCACTTCCAACAACCATTTTAATCCCATTTTGTTGTAAGATTTCCATGTTTTCTTTTCTTTTCCTCCAGATTTTCAGCTGTACCAATCACAAAAGTATTTGCTTTCAATCATTTTGTTCAGTATAAAAAAATTTAAGCTTAACAATTAACTGTTGAAAGTTCTGAGTGTAGAATTTAGTTGTTATTTTCTGATTGGTAAGTGAAGGTGGTATGGTTTTGAAACAGAACTATACATCAACAGAAAGCAAAATCCATAGTGGGTTTTCAAGAACAGATACACTAATGTTGATGAGTAACTATTAAAGTTATTTTTTGTCCTAAATTTCAAAACCGTAATTGGAATTTATAATTTTACCAATTAATGAAGTCAAATTCTTTAGAACTATTTGGGGCTTATCTCATTGTGTATTTGTGTGGTCAGAGTTGCACCAACTAAATTTGCAGAGTGAATGTTTTTCTTTCTTTTTTCTGGCTTCTTTATTCAGGCATTTCATCAGAGGCTTCTTATTCAAGTACTTCTAATAAAGCAATTAAGTCAGTTGGCCAACAAAATTTTATGGTGGGCACTGATTCATGTCGTATCAATGGAACTAATGGTTCAAGCTCAACTCAGTATTTTAAAGAGATGAGACCACTTGATGCGTACCATGACAAGTATGGAGGAGTCATTGTTAACCCTAAAGGATTACCGTCCGATCCAGATGTTTTTGCCTCTATACTTCATTCATCTCTTTCTCACTGGAAAATTAAGGTAATTTCTTCTTCTAAGTCCTAATGTGCTTCAATTGTCATTTGGTAGTTTCATTTTCTATACAAGAAGCTGAATGTTACTTACAAAGTCTAGCTATTATTGAGATCCAGTGTATGCAACTGTCTTGTCATGAAGACTTCTCTTGCAAATAATTTCATCAGGATTTGTTCTGAATTTTGGACTTCCAGAATCACTATGCTCACGAATTCGTCACTGATTAGGCCAAAATATTCACATACGAGATAACACACTAAAAATTTTTGACTCGTTTTCCTTCCTGAGTAATTATGACTTCAGATGAGCTTCTGTTTTGAGATTTCATACAAGCGATCATTTGTCAAAAGTGCAAAGTGCTAATTTGTTCCGTATAGGTGGAAGATTTCGTAGTTTCCCTACATGAGAATTCAAATGCATGACCAAACACGTTATGCTTCTGTTGTTTCCACTGTTTCTTTTATTTCTGCAGAGCTGCTAGCCATGAGATCTTTTTGCACAACTAGATAAAGTCCTTTTTTTCGCTGTTCGAAATATATCCAGTTTATTCAGGGCACTCACTGCCTTTCGAGATTTAACTGCAGGGAAAGAAGGGAGTTTGGCTTAAGCTGCCACTTGAGAGATCCGAGCTTGTTCCTATAGCAGTAAAGGTAAACCTCCATATCCTTTGTTTTCTCAGAATAAACTGTTTTCAAATTGAAATGGAAGTATAAGAATTTAATAGCTGAATCACTTTCATTAAAGCCGTGTGAAGAGCCTCCACACACTAATGCCTAAACGATTTATTGGTATCGAATACCAAACTACTCTTTGGTTTTTATTATCCATAATTCAGGGCTATCTCTGAGATCAGTGATTTTGATTATAGGAAGGATTCCAGTACCACCATGCAGAAAGAGGCTATGTCATGTTGACGTATTGGATCCCTGACGGACCTTGCATGCTTCCTGCCAATGCTTCTCATCAAGTGGGAGTTGGGGGATTTGTGATCAATGACAAAAACGAGGTGTGCTTGCTTGTTTTAAGACTCTAGGAAAGATTACGCTAACCAAAAGCTGCCTAGCTTAGAGGACACTCACAGTTTTATTTAGTTAGTTTGAATGGAACTTTCTTTTATTTATTTTGTATTGTGGCTACTATCTACCGAATGTTTTGGTATATATAATTTCCTCAGATTTAGTTTTGATTTGTAAAGGAATCCCTCTAGTTATACGTCAATGGAATATTGGCACCAGAGGGAATTACTCAACTAAGTGTTTGAGAACTCTTCTGCTCATTGTCAATATTGCCTAGAAATGGTTTTGGTTCTTGAATTCTCTAAAGCCTTCAAGTCCCTGTACTTTCAGATACCTTCCATCTTTAGAACCACACATCATATGCCATTTTTTTTTTTCAAAATAAGTTTTGGGGTTTGTTTTGATTTACTCGTGGATTATGTCAAACCAGAAAGTTCGTGATTGCAGTGCAAACACCAAAAATCGGGTTGCTCTTTCATGTGTCTGTCTTGATATCTGTCCATAAGAAACAGCCCTAAGATTAGCAAGCCACACAAAAAACCCATGTTTCCTTCTCCGTTTTCCTTTTTTGTTTTGGTCAAGGGGATGTGGGAGAGGGAAGAGGATGTGGTTGGCTTCACCATGCATCATTTAGTTCTTTTTTGTTGGAAGATTTCTGTAAAATGTGTCTTGTGATTGTTTGAGATTTTGAATAGCTGAGGTAGACTATATCTTGCTCTGCATAATTCTTTAGGTAAACCTATTAGGTATATCCTTGATTCTAATCCTTATGTCATAACTTAGATTGCATGTCTCACTTTTCTGTTAACAACCTTTGAATTGCTTCTTTCATAGACCAACCTCATTTCTATCACCTTGTCATAATTTAGGAAATTATTGTGGTCATATATATTGTTTTCGATGAACTGGTTATATTTTCTTAGTTAAAAATGGAACATAAGAGCCTTTTCAATCTACTCACTAATGTCCTCTTCTTTTTATTGTTAATTTGTATTAATGACCTGGTGTTACCTTAATATTGTACATACACTGAAAAATTCTAGTATTGTATAACTAAGAATTCTAATGACCACAACAGGTGCTTGTAGTACAAGAGAAGCACTGTGCCCCATCACTTCTTGGCCTTTGGAAATTACCAACTGGTTTCATTCATGAGGTATATCTTGCATTTTGCATGTTGATCTCACTGGTTTCAGATGCCTCTAAAACAAAGTAAAAATTTGAACACGAAAAGTTTCCATTTGTTTAGGCTTGATATGTTTTAATTGCTTTATATGCTTTAATCAGTCGGAGGAGATCTTTACGGGAGCTATAAGAGAAGTCAAGGAAGAAACTGGTGTAGGAACTTTCTACTGGATAAATTTCTTCTGTATATTCTTTACTTGGATAGTATAGGTCATTCTGCATAATTTTGTAATTGAGCTATTTGTATTATTGATAATTATTATTTCCTTTTGGTTCAATTATGCAGATTGATACTGAATTCTTGGAAGTTATAGCTTTCAGGTAATAATGATACCATTTCTTCTATATCCATATGAAAATTTCAATTGGATATTAAAAGTTTAAAACTACAATATCATCCCAGTTAAAAGAAAATGGTCACGCAATTACTGTATGAGTCACATGTCACTCATAAGCTCATAATAGTAGCATTATCTGTTTCACTAGCTACAGATGAATTACTCGAACCAACATTAGAAGAAAAATTAGAACTTTGGACCAATGGGCATTGGCTCATATAGTATGATCTCTCCTCCCCGAAGGGGCGGTTGAGTCTTTGAGCCCTGCTAGGGGCAATATTGTGGGGATGTGAGTTTTTTTGTTTGTTTGAACTTTCGAAAAAAAACACACTAGAACTATGGAAAATGACACTTATTAAAGACACTTACACTCTGTATAGGCTGTAATACTATCTTGACATTTGAAATGAGTGCTATGGTGTACTTTCTCTAAGTCAAAATGACATGATGTTTTTCTATAAGCTTCCACTGCTGTTCTAATCTCATCCGTGTGACTACAATTCCAGGCATGCTCACAATGTGGCTTTTGGGAAGTCAGATTTATTCTTCATCTGCATGTTAAGACCCCTGTCAACTCATATCATTGTTGATGATCACGAACTTCAAGCAGCCAAGGTGAATACCTTACCTCACAAAACCATCCAATCTACTTCACACAATCCATTTCTCTGTGACTACTCAATGCTCACTACACCACTTAACCACCACTTTTTACCAATTTACCTTCACAAACTATCTAGGATACTTGATTGGTTTACACATGACAAAATTGTTTGACTAATTAGATTATCTGACCGTGATCAGATGCTATGTCAACGGTATTGTTTTCCTTATAGTATTGATTTGAGAAAAATCCATTTGTTGTCACGCAGTGGATGCCTTTATTGGAGTTCGTAGAGCAGCCACTGATCCAGGGAGACTCAATGTTTAAGAAAATCATTGACATTTGCATTGCACGGCTGGGGAAGCGTTATTGTGGGTTATCTGCCCATCTAGTGGTGTCCAAATTTGATGGCAGACTATCCTCATTGTACTATAACACAGTTGATGCCGGAGATTTCAATTGTCAAACCAGTTAAAACTACTCAGACACTACTCTTGGATGCTCCCATGTGCGGAATGTATTTCTTGTTATTCTCCATCTTCCCCTTTTCTAATTGAGAATGTAACTACAGTTGCGTGAAGCTTGACAGCAGTAATTCTGTTTGTTCATATATCATGACGGATCTACAAAATGTAAATGCATCGATCTTCCTAATGTAAATGCTTTGTAATATAATATGTTGCTATTGTACATGTTTGACAGTCGCCTTCCGTTTGCTTCTATTGATTTCCCTTGTTAATTCTACTCAGACTTACTTCCCTTTTGGTGTATTGGAGCTTTTTCATGGAAAATTTTCTGGTCTTTGTATGCTAGCACTCATTGGAAATGCAAAATGCTCCTAATGAAAATGAACAAATTGAACTACCAAATGCGCTAATTTTAAGAAACTTTTAATTAGAATGAATAGACAATGCAATGGACTGATTCATAAATTTAAGGCTTGATCAATCACTGAAGTCCTAGTCAAAACTACTCTGAAAATTGCTTGTTCTGTTAGAGGTGAGCGTCAACTTGGTCCATCTGTAATGTGATTTTCAGCAATTTTACAAGTTGTGAATTTGTTTCTTGAATTCAAAATGTGGAAATGCTTGTCCCATTTGCAATTAGGACCAAAAAATGGTTGTTGCTGGATAGGTCAGTTTTGAAACAGCCAAGTCGGCTCAGTCTCCGGTCTCCAACCAACATTTACTGGTCAGAGGCAAAAGAAACAAACAAACAATGCCATGTGTGGGTATGCTCACAGCCAAAAGAGGATGGTCCAGGCATTGCATTCAAATGGACCCTGGTGAATTATTTATGAGACAAATTAAAGGTCATGTTCAAGTGAACCTTCTGCCTTCAAATGCTGAAGTGAGCATGTATTCTGCGATGTGATGTCTTGTTTTATAAACCAAATTTCTTGCCATGGCTTGTTGCAGCAACTAAGTTTACTGGTTCAAACTTAAAATTCTCTTCCATGACCTTTCCATTTTAAGGTACTTAACCTTTCTTTCTAAGGTGTGGGTAGAAAAGACCCAACTCTTGAAACCATTTTCTTAATAAAAATGATTCTGGGATAATGATTCCGGATCCCAGATCCACTGCAGTATAGCACGAGTGTTGTACTGCATTGAACGGTTCACAGTACACACATGTGATCTTGCACAAACTTGTATAATCTATAGGCAGATATATTTAGGACAATATATCCGGTTAAATGGTAATATATATATATATATATATATATATATATATATATATATATATATATATTGGTCATAAAATACATAATAAAGTATCTTCCTATAAACATAACAAAATGATAAAAGTGTAATCAAGGGGTGGTCATCTTTCTAATATGTGATCCATGAATTTATGAAATTAGAGGAAGATGTCTATAATGGTAACTGGTGATCAAATTAGATCTAGATTTACTACATTGAGGTCATGATTTGTGTTAAAATGAAACCTGCTTATGATGTTAGCTTTATTTGCACGACAAGAATCACCAAGATTTGAAAGTTAAGTAAACTCACATATCCATATCTTTACTGGGGCTTGAACCGTGACTTCCCAATTGAAGAGATGGGTTCGTGCCAATCGAGACTATAGTCTATTTAGTGATATCCTTTCATTTTTGAAACGATCGGTAAATTACGAAATCTCCATTATGTCAATTTGATGATTTTTATATCAATAGCTAAATGGTTGATAGTTTTGGCAAAAGTATATAAAAATCAAACTAATATGAGATATATAAGGGCTATACATACAAAGTATACAACAATATGAAATACTAAAAGAGTAAATAAAACATAGCTGTAAGCTGCTTATTTTGTATTCAACATCTCATATACATTGTATGCGCCAGAACTTCTGCCGAAACCACCACTCCCACATGCCGAAATTCCGGAACATTAGCCATATGTAGCTTGGACTATTGTCGGGAGAGCGGCAATATACCAGGCATGGAATTAATAAAAATTTCAAAATTACCACTGTTTTGCTGGGTCAGTGCTCTCTCAAAATAGCTGTTCTGTTTGAAGTGTTCAATATGAAATAATGTAAACAAAGTCTTAATTTATGAAAGAGCAATTTAAAATTGGTGTCATGATTTTAAAAACTCAAGCTTGCATTAGTTCAAGCCATAACTAGTAGTATGGAAAAAAAGAAGAAGCTATTTTAAATATTTTGCAGTATTTTTATTATTATTAGTATTATTATTAGCATTATATTTTTTGCAGGTAAAATGTTAAGTTTTGTGGACAATTGATTGTATAAAGCTTGCATGTGACGCATTAACCATTGTTTGGAATAGTTCCTACTAAAAGTGAATATGTTTGAATTTGAAGGGCAAGCTCGAAACACTCATCTTAATAATTCTTGAAAATTGAAACAAAATCAAACTAACAACAATTTACGTTTAAAATTATTTCGATTGTATAAGAATGATTAGAATAGATTACTAAGTCATATTATTGGTTATAGATTTGAATGTACAATAATATGACTTAGTATATATAATAGTTTCACTATATTTGAAATTAGAATTCAAACAATTGACCTTTAAACTAGACCAAAACATCTAATCTGGATTGCAGTTTCAACTTGATAGGTACATTTGGCAAAAAGATACCGACGGAAAGGGTATTTTTGTAATTGAGCACAAAGAGAAGGGCCTTTTCTCATCATAGTTCTTCAACTCATTTTCTTTAATCAGTCAAAATCATTCTTGAAGAGCCCTTTTTAAAATTCACTTCTTGTTGAGTTCTTTCTCGCTCTGATCTGAGGGCAACGCCACCCCCACTCTCACACAGTGTTTACACGCACATAACATCTGTAAGCTCTCTCTCTACAATTTTGTATTTATATATGTGTATGTGTATATGTATAACTAGCGTTCAGATTCTATTTCATTTCCTGTTCCCATTCCAATAATCTAGGGTTTCTAGCTTCAATCCACTGCCGTTTGAGTCACTTCAATTGAAATATTCTATTCTCTGTTGAAACTGTTGTATTTAGGGTTTATTTATGTGTTAATATCTTGTTCAATTTTTGAAGTTGAGTTTGTGGTTTAAAGTAGTGAGCTGTTACTAAACTTTTTAGTTATTGCAATTGTTTTAGGGTTCTATCTTCTTAAAAGTTCGCTAGAACCGAATGTTGAGCTTGGGGTTATAGGAGTGTGTATTTGTTGGAGCATTGAGGGGCGGGTGAAAGATAAAATGCGGTTGTTTCCGTCTTGCTCGAGTTCGTCCAAGGGTCAGAGTAATGGAGGAAGCAATCGTGCTATGATGTATCTCAATGTATATGATCTCACACCTATAAACAGCTACCTTTACTGGTTTGGGTTCGGAATTTTCCACTCGGGCATCGAAGGTACACAATTTTGTTTTTACATGTTCTAAATTCTGTAGAAGTTATTGCTGTTGAATTTTGGATCTATCTTCGGTTTGTTTTAGGGTAATTTGAGTTTTGGGTGATAGAAACCAATTAGTATGTTGTGATAATATTATTATACCTATATCTATCTCTATATTTTCCCTTTGAGGGGTATAGTATATTATTCTTGAGGATTATTGCTGCACACGTGTAAGTTTTCTCATATATTGTCTTCTGTAACAAGAATTGAGATGCCAATAAGAAAGAGGTCCATTATCTATTGCTGATCTAGCCTACATGGATTGTTCACGGGGAAAACCAGTGACAAACTACCATGTTACATTTGTTCTACATAAAAGTTACTGCTTTGAAACTTGAACCCGTTTCCTCACCCTTGTTACTCCGAGCTTTATGATAATTGTTGACACTGAAAGATTAAAAAAAAGTCGACAGTGGATAGGTTCAGCCATTTTTTTAGTGTGCTTTTACCAGTGGAACCTCTTTTCAATTAAAAAGGCATGTTTTTTAAGTTTGACACCCATATTTTGTGACGGGTCACTCAGAACTGGAAATGTTGAAAACAATTTGATTGAAATGAGACAAACTTTTGATCCATGGATGCCAAATACTTTTCTTTTAGTATGATTGTTGTTATGGCCATTAACTTATCTGCAGTTCAATTTGAGTGTAGCTATAATCTGCAAAAGGTTGTGCATTCATTTCCATTAAAATCCTAGAACTGGCTAACCTTGAATGTCTGAGGTTCCATGTTCTCGTTGAGCATAGTTTCTACTAATTAACTTCTGGATACCATGGTTGGTTATAATCGTATAAAATCATATCACTTTTTCATTGATGAACTCAATAGAATGTATATCTTGACTAAAATTCTTGTTTAGTCATATTGATATGTGGAACATAACATTTGTATAGATTGATAGATGGTTAAGCAATGACTAATAGAGGAACCTCTCCATGTATTTGAGTACTCAATTCTTCAAATTTTAATGTTGGTGTTAGCTTTGTTGTGGTAATCTCAGGTGGGGCTTCAATGTTCATTTGTGCCATGCTAGGTTCCTCTATTGCTAGATGTAGGCATTTTTCCTACTTAAAACTCTCTGTTGTGTGCAACCGTTTTAAAGAGAATAGGATTGGTGATTGATAGCATCATTAAAATGCATCTACGACGAGTGCTAGTTTATTTTGTTAGGTCTAAAACTTGTGCTTCTGCATTGATGTTAAATTATATGGAATGCCACTCTTGAGTCTTGGAAAATTTAATATTTGTTGCATATCTTGTACTAGCTTGCTCTGTGTGTGTGTGTGTGTGTGTGTAAATTTATATTTATCATAGGGATGATAGAGATGTATGTTTAGGATAGGGAGAATCCCACTTGTGTTTAACCCAAACCCAACATTGGTTTGTGATTAATCAAAATATTTTTGAACACATGTATGATATATTTGTATGTGTGTGTATGAGATCTCTCTGTCTCTATCTCTCCCCCCAGTGAGTGTCTCCTAAAGCTTCTATCCCCAATTAAGAACTCTCTAATCTGTATATGTGTGTTTATTTTATGCTGTATTGGACATTTATTGTCTGAGTTTATTTAATATTATAGTACACTACTGCCCCAGTGCCAATCTTGGCCTTGTTTATAATGGTAACTTTCATTTGACAACTGCATCACATTCTTATATTTTAGATTTATTATTTCTTAAAAGGAAATTGCCCCATTTTTATTGTAGTGTTGTGTCTACCTGAAGATTTTCATGAGATGTTGAAACTATTTTGTCCTGGAGCCCATCAAAATATGTCTGAGATTTTGACTCTGGCGTATTCATGCTTTATCCATGAACTTACACATAATTCTGTTTCCAAAGTGGCGGTCTTTCTAAAATTGAAATAACTTTCATGTGTGGAGTGGTAGAAGCCGAACATGCAGTAGGAGTTCAGAACCTTGATTAATTCAGTATAAACAGAAAGCAAACTTTGAATCCTTTTGATTTGGAACTTACAATTGAAACAGGGGTAAATTTGTAAAATATACTCTCCTTTAATTTCAAGTGGAGATGATCCTTAATATGCTTCTTCTTATCAAATTTGCTACTTTATTTCACTGTCATCATGATTTGTTTTACTTAAAACCATTTTGAACTGCTCTGGAATTGGTGATTCATCAGTGAACGCATCTTCTCTTCCCTTGAGCTTCTTACTCATCATCACTAATCAACTTCCCTTGGATCCCGAGTCAAGCTGGTTCCTCACTTTTCACAACCAATTATTGTGCAAGTTACGGATTTAATTTGGCATGAAGGTTACATACAGACAAGTATGTGCAACATTTTTAGTGACATGGTTTACTTTATTAATCTACACAACATCCAACTGCTGTTATTGTAAATGTTGTTTTATTAAGATTGTCAGCATTACACGTTGACATCATGCATGTGAGATTTTCCATGTTTACTATCAGTTAATGCTTATGTTAGTCACTAGCATTAATATGCTTTCACTTGATTTGATAAACAGTACATGGATTGGAGTATGGATTTGGAGCTCATGAGTACCCAACCAGTGGGGTGTTTGAGGTGGAACCAAGAAGTTGCCCTGGCTTTATTTTTAGAAGGTCGGTGCTTTTAGGTAGTACTGAGATGTCTCGTTCAGAATTCCGGTCGTTCATGGAGCATATTTCTGGAAAATATCATGGGGACACTTATCATTTGATTGCCAAGAATTGCAACCATTTTACTGAAGAAGTTTGTTTACGTCTCACTGGAAAGCCTATTCCTGGATGGGTGAATCGGCTTGCCCGAGTAGGTAAGACTGAATATCCCTTGCTTGCTTTTGCAAAATACTTCTTCTTTGCAAGGTTAATTTGAAACATCATAATTGCTTGTCAAGTTACTTGGTTATGGATGTGTCACTATTCCCAAAATATGAGGGAATGAGTCTCAAAATTGGTTGGCTCTATAATTACATAAAACTAGTCTTTTATTTATAATATTTGTTGTTTTCTTCAGCGTTTAAGAAAATATGAGTGCCTCTAAGCCATATATATATTTTTTTGATAAGTAAAGTGCCTCTAAGCCATATTGACACAAAATCCACATTATAGAGTGTTATTGTTCTAAGTAGGTACAGAAGGGTCCTGAGGGTCTGGTGAATGCAGCTGCTGTGTTTCTTGGACATGTGAATATAGGCCTTGTGGCCCACATGTGATTAGTTTCTCTCTGTATCTAATGCTATGGCTTTTTTGGAGTTTCAGGTTCTTTTTGCAACTGTCTACTTCCTGAAAGTATTCAGGTTACAGCAGTCAGACATTTGCCTGATCATTCAGCATATTCTGGTTAGTTTCCCTCTCTTTTTTTTGTCCCTTTTGTACAACCATTGATCTTTTTTCAAGCCTCTACTTCTCTGGAGTTATAATTTTGCTGAAACTGGCTATACGAGAAATAGAGGATCAAATACATCAAAGCCTATCATATGTTACTAGATATGGTGAACTTGAAAGAGGAAATGAATAGAAGGAATTTATGTATGTGAAATACAACAATCACAATAAAATAAAGTGTGTTAACATTTTGTAGGTTTATGCTGATAAGTACTAATAAGTGGAGGTATTACTACAATAAGGTAGAGGTTTAGGTGGACTGGGCTAAGTGGAAGTTGAAACTGACTTGTAAGAAGAGAGAGGGAACAGTATCGGATATAACAGACTCCTTGAGGTCAGGATGTAGCTAGGTGTTATCCTAGGTCTCGGGGGGTCTGGTCGGTCTGGCCTAGTTCTCTGGTCCTTTCTAAATGTGGGTCAGAGGCTTATTTTTACTTAAACATTGTGAGCAAAGCGGTGATCATGCCTTGCCAGCATGGTGTTCTAATGAGGTCATGTCACATTCCCTTACCACAGTTGAATGGGATGTCACCACATGCATATGGGGATGGTATAACTGTACTGAGCTATTGAAGCTTATGTCCTGCTCCCTATATGTACTGATTTTCCTTGCAAAATTGTCTTTGGAGAAGGCAACAACCTTATTTGAGGAGAGGAAAAACTTGCAGCAAGGCTTAACCTAAAAGAGATCCTTGCAAAATCACTTCTATGCCATGTACAGATGGCTGAATAGCTGCCTCTATGGGCTTGAGGCACTCCTGCCAATATTGTGCTGCCTGGTAATTACATTTTACATTGTGATTACGCGTAGCATTTTTGGGAAATAAAGTTGAATTGATTATAAGAGATTGAACCTGACATGAGTTGGATTCCTGATTATCTGGACTAAGAAAATTGGAGCTCTCTTGCCTGTACAAGCTGCCATTGATTCATAACTGCAACAGAGTATCTATGATGTGGAATCTAGGATATTTTCATTTGATTTGTTGCTGAACTCCTTTACAATGACTCAAATTTTAGTGGAATAGATCTTAATCTATATATGTGTGATGATGGTGTTTGTCTATAAAAAATCTATGAAAAAAGTGAGAGAGAAAAATAAAAAAATTATATAAATTTTTTGTTTCTGAACGTTTATTGAGATATTAAGTCAACAAAATATCTAACCCAATATATATATATATATATAGTGATTTCACTAATTAAAATATTTTGCTAAAACAGAAGATGGGTCAGATTCTGGTGTGTCATCTGTATCAGCGGAGAGTGAAGAGGAGGAGCTGGATCATCATCTGCTGACTAAGCCAAATGCTGATGTGGCATTTCTAAAAGAAAAACCAGTGAGAGTAGCGAAAGAGCAGCTCTGATTTATATTCTTTTGCTCCAATTCATTAATATCCTGTCCTGGGTCTTCTTGTTTGTACTTGTAGTATATTATCTATAATGTCAAGTGTATCAGTAAAAATCTGTCTCAATTAAATTGATGATTCCCAAGACCCAGTAGTGTATTGACCACTGTTTCTAATTGTATGATATGTTTGGCTTTCCAAATTCTATATGAAATGATGTCTGCTTTGCAGTATAAAACCGATGTTTACAAATTATTAATTGCTGTTTCTAGTTCTTAAAAATTATCGAGTTCCTGTACTTAAATTATTTGATGGAGTTTGAGATCCCAGGTGAACAAAATCTGATAAAAAAGGATGAGGAAAAGCAAGATGTTAATTCACTTTTCATTCAAAGAATTTGCAGTGTAGTTGAGTTCCCAGGTCAACTTTTGTTTGGATTGTTAGCGTGGGGTGTGATTCGTGGTCATCTGTAGACTCATGCATTGCTTATGAAAGGTTTTCATACGCAGGAAACAAACACAAGTTGTAGATTTATAAATAATTTGCATTGATAAATAATAACTAATAAGTTAGAAATATGGTAGTCGATATTTAATTGCTAAAACTTAAAGACAAATGGTGAAAAGCAACACAATAGTAAGTAAAATATGCAGTCATTTCAGAATATAATTCATTCTAGTTTTGAAATTTCACATAGGGACAATTTTTAGGTCCTCGTTGGTGATCACCTACCTACACCATTCTATCATATTGTCAATTAAAAAAATAAATAAAAAAGGAATGAAAATTAAGTGAGCCCATTTCATCTTTGGATGTCATTATTTCCTTTTATTTTATGTTCACCAAGATATGTCATAATAAGATTGTGTCACAAATGTGCTGAGGATTGTATAGGTCATTACTGGTGAGAACTTATGTAATTTGTCTTGATTGAACATGAGAATGTAAATACAAGAGTAGAGAGCTAACAGTTTTTCTCTTTCCTAAAAATTTGAAAATTTAGGCTAAATTCAATTAGTGGCAACCCAAATAAAGGTGCTGCGAAATGGATAGATTGTTCAAAATAAAGAAATGTTAAGAGAAAAAAAAAAAAGAAAAAAAAAACAGGGAATTAAAGGGATTCCCACACTGTTTTGGCTCGCTTTAACTTTTTTGTGGTCCAATACTCAAAAAGTGAGTAGTGTGGACTATTTTCTTTTGACAATTTGGAGCCCAGTTTTCTAAGGCCTCCACCAAAGCGTCGTGGCCAAGCTTCAGACACAGAATAAATCATTGTCGAATACTTGACTAATGACGTGACCTAAATCCCATGGCTGTGTGAACCATAGACCTCTAAGTGTGGAACACCATCTCTGTGTCTGTCATTTTCTCCAGCACCGTTTTCCTTTTACATTCTCTTTCCTTCTACTTATTCTTTCCTTTTCTTTCTTCCGTTGATTTTTTCTAGATTACTTTGTGCGTGGTATTTTGAATTGAACTTGCATATATAATTCATGTCTTAATTGAAAAGAAAAGTTACTGATTGAAAACAAAGTTGATACGAAAACCAAAAAAAACCCCATTATGGAAAGGTGGTGCACCTATGAGCAACTGGTGGCAAGTATTAAAGTTTAGTTGCAAACTGGTAGTTCCCACCACACCACATTCCCGTTTTCCTCCCTACCAAACATAGAGTTGGAAATGGAGATTCAACATTCCTACCAATACCATGAGCGTCCCCTGACCAACCGTAACGTGTGTTCTGTTGTCTGTTCCGTCTGTGGCCTACTCATTTCAGGTCCGGCCTACTGTTGCACCAAAGATGACTGCAAGTATTGCATCCACAAATACTGTTTCGAATTGCCGTCTAATATCAGACACCCCTTTCATCCTCAACACCTTCTCACCCTCGAAGAAGGAAATGATGACAGCTTTTGCAATGCCTGTGGAGGTGAAACAACGGACTTATTCTTCCAGTGTTCTGAGTGTGAATTTGATCTTGATGCTGATTGCGCTTCGCTTACACCCACAAATATTAATAATCACGGAGGAGGTAATGAGCACCCCTTGATTCAACATCTTGGCAAAGTGCATCCCTTGATTCTCTGCAATATGAATAAGAATTTTAAGTTTTACTGCAATGCTTGCACGCTCCCTTTTGAGGATTCGATGATCTATGTCTGTCTTGACTGCAATTATTTGCTGCACAAATCATGTGTTGAATTGCCACCAACCATCAAACACCCCTTTCACCCACAGCACCCTCTCACCCTCTGTTCCAGAGCGCGTAATTCTTATAATCAAAAGTGCAATGCCTGTGGGAGCCTAATTATGGAGTGCTACTTCGGTTGTTATGAGTGTTTATTTCAACTTGATGTTAGATGTGCTTCAATGATGCCCGCCAATAATCATGATGAGTACCATATTCAACATCTCGGCCAAACGCATCCCATGATTCTATGTAACATGAATAAGAATTTTAAGCTTTACTGTTCTCTGTGCACACTCCCTTTTGAGGACTTGATCTATGTTTGCCTCGAATGCAATCTTTTGCTGCACGAATCATGCTTTGAATTGGCAGCGGAGATCAAACACTCTTTCCACCCACAACACCCTCTCAACCTCGTTCTAAAACCACTGGAATTCAATAAGGCGTGCTCGGCTTGTGGAGACTCAATAGATTGCTGCCATTACAAATGTTTAAGAGATGAATGCTTCTTTAATTCTACTTTCTCTATGCATACTAGATGTGCTTCTTCACTAGTGCCCACCATAAGGTCTAAACTTCACAATCACCCTCTTGCTTTCTTCAACAATATAGGTCCGGACATACCCAAAAGTGAGTTCTTTTCCTGTAGTGTTTGTTCTGGCGACATCATCTCCTCTTTTTTTCGTTGTGTGAAATGCAATTTCAGTCTCCAGGCGCATTGTTATCCAACATTACCGCAAACCATCAAATATGAATGTCATCGACATTCCCTCACCTTCACCAATTCTCCAATCAAAGACTACGAGGATGAAGATGAGGAGGACGCAGAATTCTACTGTGGTTTATGCAAGGAAAGAAGAAACCTATTTGAACCAACCTATTATTGTGTAGAATGCCAGGGAGATGGAAGACACTATGTTGCTCATTTTGATTGCATGATCTCTGAGGTATGTCCACAACCCATGTTGTTCTTTTATGGTTTCACTTTCTTTTCGATCACTCAAAAATCATGCGGATTACGCACAAATATTTTATAGACAAATGTACTCCGTCATATAAATTGAAGAGTAATGTAATTATGAGGTCTCGCTCATGACACTTATCACGAGCTCTCTTTATGACTCTTATAGATAATTTCCCATATTATCTTGATCTGTTTTTCTTATTTATTTATTGACTTAATGTTTGGGTCCTTGTTAGATTTTACGAGCACTAGAGGAAGAGTGGGCCTTGACTCGCAATCCCGGGGATAAGGAGTTGGAGACTTCAACTGATCATGTGGTTAAAAAGAACATTGAAGAAATGGTCAGTAGTAGTGATGTTGTGATAACAAAGATGGAGAGTAGTGATGAGGGTGCAACTACAGAAAAGGTAGAGGTTGGAGATACCAAAACCCCTGCCCTTGTCGAACTAGACAATGAAATCTTGGTGCTTCGAAGAGAGATAGAGGCACAAAAGGCAAAACTAGAGGCACTTGAGGAGAGGCGTGCACAACTTCATGCACTTGAAATGTCAGATTTTGGTAACAAATCAGATTGATAGTTGGACAGACAGCAAAACATGACATTATTGCTATTGTGAACATGACTTTTTTCTATAATTTGTATAGATATTAGTATTGCTATTGTAAATTTGTAATTATCAAAATTTCGCTAATGACCAAAAGGGGGGAAAACAACTTGACTTACAAAAAGGGGAGACCTTGACTCTATAGGCGTGTGGAAAGGTTTTGTTGGCTGTCTCATTTCACGATTACTTGATTGATGCTTTTCATATCGTAATTTCTTTCCTAAAACGGACCTACTAACATTTGAATCTCCAACATTTCATATTCTAAGCGAATATAGTTTTTTTGTAGCTGCAAAACAGGTTGGGATGGATCCCCAGCTTATTCAGAGGTTGAATGTTGCTGCTCAAGATGGAAGTATCGAGGAGTTGTACGCAGTGATTGGGGAAGATCCGGATGTATTGGAGGAAATTGATAAGAAACAGTTTGTTCAAACTCCTCTTCACATAGCTGCATCTGCTGGGCGTGCCCATTTCGCCATTGAAATTATGAGCTTAAGGCCATCGTTTGGTCGGAAGCTAAATCCAAGTGGGCAAAGCCCTCTGCACCTGGCTGTCCCCTTAGGCCTGGCTGGGCCACTCACACAAGCGCAAGATGAGACTGAGAAACGGCAAACTGAAACTGCTATACGGCTCATCAATATCGACAATGAGCTCATCCGTGTCCAAGGGAAGGAGAGAGTGACTCCATTGCATTATGCAGCTGTAAGAAATAAATTCCATCTCGTGGCTGAATTTCTGTGCGCTTGTCCACTGTCCATCGAGGATTTGACAATCCGAGCTGAAACTGCTTTACATGTTGCAGCCAGAAACGACAGTCTTGAAACTGTTAAACTCATCTCCGGATGCCATGGCCAGAGTTGCGGTGATCGAATTATAGATTGGATGCTGAATTCTCCCCTCCCATGGGTTAGGGGATTAACCCACAATGGGGTACTGACATGAAAGAACGAGGATGGTGACACCGCGTTGCATATTGCAGCATCTAATGACCGACCTAAGGCTTGACATTTTCTCTCTTTAATTTGCTCAACTTTAGCATTTAGTACTATAGTTAATACAGTTTTCTATTTTTTGAATTTTTGAGAACTATTTTTTGAATAATAAACCAAGTACGTCCTTAATCTCTCGCAAAAGTAATATATTTGTTTATTTTGAAAATTGACTGTTTTAGTAATACAGCTTTTTGTGAATATATAATTATTTAATTTCAGGTTGTGAAGTTGTTGATCAGGCGCAACTCAGTGTATATGAATGATAAGAATTTAGAGGGTAAGACGGCGCTTGATTTAGGCGATGGACACCAAGAGGTGAAAGCTATTTTAGTGAGAGCAGGAGCTTCAAGCGGTGCTAGTAATTCGAGAAGGACCAGTGGTAGTCTTGCAGACTATATGAGTCGGGGGAGAGTGGCTCGTATTCTACCAAGCAATTTGTCGGGGGAGATGGGCAATGTCATACTAGTGGTAACGCTTGTACTAGTGCCGGTGTATTCACTCCTCCCGACAAAAACAACAACAGTAATACCATTACCACCACGAATTATGATGATGTGCAGCTGGGATTAAACAATCATTCCGGTATGGAAACAAAAATTATGGTATGGAACTCAATGGCATTTTTCACCTCAATTGCAGTGATTAGTTTTACCCTCCCGACAATTACAGATAAAAATCAATTTTCCCTGGGGACTACTCTTGTCAATGTCACTAATCTGCTGCAACTTTGTCTACATGTATTGACAAGCACATACCTTGTTTTGGTGGTTTCACTTGGCGACTCTCTTGCCACTTCGGCGTGTCTTGCTATGTTAATGTTTTTTTTGGTCCCTGTCAATCTTAACTTTGCCGTTCACACTGTGGAATTGAAGAAATTCTCAGCCATACCAGTTAGCAGGGGTAACCCTTCTCGATTCTTCGAGATGCGTCGCCAAATGGTTGGCCTGTAAAAGTTTCCCGGCGGGATAATATACGTTGCTCCTTGAGAGCATTGCACTGTTGTTATTTCATGCACCTAATTAAATATTTTTCTAATTACTCGATTTCTTGCTTGATTAGTTCAATTAATTTCAAAGATGCACGTGTAGCTTAGTGTTACTTTTTCATTCTTTTAAAGTAGTTGTTCCACTTCTAATTAAATCCCAAAGACAATTATACAAATGAGTTCTGTTTACTCCATTATTTTTGCTTAATGGAAAAATGACAAATGGTGAGTTTTAACGAGCTTGCCATATTGGATTAATACTCTAATTATCCAAAAGAAGAAGGTGTGACATGGAATTATTGACATAATCTACTAATAGAGAAGAGGTACATGGCAAGTTCCAATGGAACTTGTCACGCCGGAGCGTAGCTTTGATAAATTTCCTTTGGAATATTAAAACTACGGGGAATTGTTGATTGAAAGTGGAAAGTCCTATTAGGACTTACCAACTTTGGATATAATGTCCTAAAAGTATAGGAAGGTGACATGGAGACACTATCATGAGTGCAACCTCATATGAATATTCAAGTCAAAGATCAACCAACCAATGGTTTATTTACACGTGGCGAGTTCTACTAAACTTGCCATGGTAGATCAATTCTTTTAAGAATTGATTTTATGGGAAGTCCTATTCTTATAGCAAAACAATTATATGGATATTTTTTCCATTTAAATTACGAAATTAAGGTTAACTAAGCAGGACGTGGGGCTGGATTTCCTCCTAAAATCTAGGGGGTTCTCAACAACTATGTCTGACTAAGTCAAGCAACGAGGAAGTAGGGTGTTGTTTCCAGAAATATAAAATATATTCCCAAATATATATGTATATTTTATATAGCCCACGATGGGATAAAGGAGTTGCTATAATTTTGGGGGCCACGACACCATAAACTCTGAATATGGAAAAAAGTTTCAAGAAGAGAAGCTACAGTGTGGACGTTAATCCACGTTAGGAAGAATGCTGAAATCTAGGAGTTCATGGCGTCGTGGAGTCTAAAGCCGCAAAGGAAAAGGAGTATGGGTGATGATTTGCATCATGGAGGTATATATATTCATACATATGTGCACATTCATGATGAGGAAAAGTGGTTAATTTTGGATATGATGCCATGAAATGAAGGAAGTCCAGCTGGAAGAGGTTACCTAAAGCCAAGGGAACGTGTTCTATATACATGAATTATATATAGAAGTTGTATAGAAGGAAGGATTCTGCAGAAGGAAAGATTTTAAAGAACGTGGGATAAATGGCTAAACAAAGTACATCAGTTGAAAGTAGTGGTCTTGCACATAACTACTACCACTAACTGAAGTGGTTGTCGGATAATTTGGATGATAGGGCCACTAAAATCGTGCTTGAAAAAAGAAGAACAAGAAGACATGGGGCATGTGTCAGTTTATGGAGAAGACAAGTGGAAGACCCACTTTAAAACTACCCACGATATAAGTTCATGGAAGAGAAAAGGGACATGGTTCAAGTGAAACATCAGAAGAAATCTACAACAAGAGAAAGGAGGAAGAAGATGGTGGCAGAAATAAAAGGAACTGCCGAGAACATGGGACAGTTGGCAGCGTCGGACCAGGCCAAGTGGAAGTTGCTGAAGTCGCCACGTCTTAGTTATTGCATGTAAGGAGGTTTATAAATAGAGCACTCAAGGCTAGTTTGCAAACCTTGCCTGTCACGTCCCACAATTCCAATAAAATCCCCGATTTATTCAAAATCAGATACATCAAAATACACCCAAGATCACAAAAAAATGACCTCCTTTATACAAAGTTGTTTTCCTCAAATATACAAAAAATTCTCCAAATAAAAAAATAAATGCCTGTAACGCCAACTCTTCATCCTAAGCCCGAATATAACAATTCCCGTCCATCTTCGGTACCTGAAACTGGATGGTGGTGAGACAAAAGTCCCAGTAGGAAAAACCATAACAAGAATCTCATGGAGGTTTAATAAAACAGCTTCACAATATAAACATATATATTTAATACATATGCATTTAATTAAAAATATTTAATAAAAACATTAAAGCAAAACCTCCCCACACTCTTTCTGTCTCGAAACTCTCTGTCTTTACTCTATTTTTCTCTCTCAAACTTCTCAAATTTTCTATTCTGTCATTGAATGCTCACAAGTCACAAGAACGCACCCAATATATAGACAAAATATACCGACCTCAACTCACCAACTGCTATCCACCGACTCCATCTCCATACACACGTCAATCTGCTCACCACACACTCAAAAGTAAAATGTTAGACAACATCATGTCTTTCAAGCAAAACAGCCTACGTGACCAACCTGCTCCTCCTTTCTTTTCATTCCTTTAATCCCACATACAAGCACCCAAACAGCCCACGTGAACTGTACCAAAGTTAAAGAAATTTACCCATTAAAACCACAAGTGGGACCCGCGAATTACCAATACCATTACCCATTCACCAACTCCATCAGATCACACACACACACACACATATATATATAAACTCATCTTACATCCAAATCAATTTCAAGCCACGTAATAAAAAAAACAAAGTCAAAAAGTCTTACTCATTTAATAACTAAGTGGAGGCCACCAACATCACAATTGTTTTTTTTTCTTCTCCTTTTTCCATTTCTCAGCCTACTCTATATACATATATAATGTACCTCCATATAACATATATGTATATATATAATATAACAAAATTAAATAAAAAAATCAAAACCCATTAATCTCTCTTTATTGCACCACACCTAAAACAAATTCCTTATTTCCCTTCCATTTCGTTGCTGCCCACTTCCTTTATTATAAATATAATACATATATATAAATATATATATTAAATTACAAATCTAAATTAAATTTCAAAGCCGACCAACCTTAATAAATAATTAATTTAGATAGTCGAAAAAATAATAAAATAATTAAAATCTCAAAAAATCGAGTCATCACAATCTCCACCACTTAAAAAGAATTTCGTCCTCGAAATTCAAGTCCAACTGTCCGTATACCTGAAAACACCAATAACCACGCTTCCGCTGCGCCACTCTGATTCCAATAATCACAAAACCAAATCCATAAATCCTCAACCCAGGCGATGTGAGATACAGTGATATGTAGGACGTTGTGGTAGCTGATAGTGCTAGTCACCCGCCCACACACTCCGTAACCGTTGTGGTAGCTAGTCGATGCGTCACCCGCCCACCCACTAAAAAAAATAATAACAAATCTGGGCTACTTGCCCAACCACACCAACTAACCATTCTAGTGGCTGCCAGTGACCGCCATCCGCCCACACACACCCGGCTACATCACTACCACACTCACACTTTGTAATACCCTTAATTTTTAAAGGATATTCCTGGAATTTATTTTATTATTGGTTGCATTTTATTTAATTATTTGTTTAATTGTGTTAATTAGAGTTTGAATTATTTGTTAATTGTTTTGTTTTGTTTGTTTTATTTAATGATTTTAATTGTTGTCTTTTGATTGTTTGTTTAATTATTTGTTATTTGTTTTGTGTTAGTTTGGTTGATTGTTTTAGTTAATTATTTTTGTTTAATTATTTCAATTTCGTGGGTTATTTTAATTGGATTAAGTTTAAGGTTTTATTTATTGCATTAGGTTATAGTGTTAATTGTATAATGGAGTTCGTATGTAGCCGACACTGTTTTACGACGTAGGTTTTGTTATGGGCCAACGGGGAATATAATTAGGGCTCTGTCTCTACACGTACATGCAATAGGGTTTTACGTCTCTATATATAAATAGAGCAGTGTATGGATTTAGGGTTCTAGAATACAAAAGCATTGTCACGTACCCAAGATACAGAAGGAGAAATAGAGAGCAGTTGTGAGAGAAACAGAGCAAGGCTTGAGGGGAATTTTACAGAGAGGATCAAGGAGGTTGAGTAAGGTTTAGAGATGGAGTTATAGGAGGCTAGACAGTGTTGCAGTAATTGCCGGAAAACTTAAAGACGACGCCGAGATTTCATAACTGAAATCACAGGCAAGTTCTTCTCTTTCTCCTTCTCTTTGGCTCGTGTTCTGTGCACCTAGATAATCTCTAGGGTTTAACCAATCAATAACTGGAAGATATATGTTTAATATATGTCATGTGAATGATCTATTTATGTTGAAAATCAATCTGTTACAGTTCATACATGTCTCGTTTCAGTTTTCTGTTCTTTAAGCATGTTGCTCTGTTGTAACTTTAGTCTTGGGAATTGCTTTTAATCTCTGTAAATGAACCATGGGGATGTTATTGGGATTGATATAAGATCCTTAGGTTCAGTGGTAAAGGGGAATAGAGGGTTTGGAAGAGAACTAAAATTTTCTTAAATTAATTTTCAGTGTTGTTCTTCAAGCATACTAATTTAATGGCTTCGTTTAATCTCTGTAATTGGTTTCAAATTATTGTAATAAAATCTTGGGGATGCTATTAGGCTTAAATATGACTCTTAAATTAGTTCTAAAACCCAACAGAAAGATTGCAACTGGCCAGAGTTGGAACAGAGGTCAGAACGAAGCTGAAACGGAGGGGAAGCTCGCATGGGGAGAGAGAGCCGGCTCTGGAATGCCAAGAGCATGCTCCCACCTATTTAGAGCCGGCTCCAAGGTGGTGGTAGAGCCGGCTCTATGCTGATTTAGAGCCTGCTCTATTTTTCTAGAGCAGGCTCTTTCATTTTTTATGCGTTCAGTGTTTTTTTGGCTACTGTTTGGGCACTTGTGGTTCTTGAACAGTTTTAAAAATTTAATGGGCTTTTTAATAAATAATTTATGATGTAATAAAGGTCTTGAATTTCATTAAATACCCTCTTGGTATTAGTGGAATTAACGGTGCGTTATTTATCAACTTTGCGTACGGTTAACGGCTGGAAGGAAATTTATTGTCTAATTTTGATTTGACAATTTAAGGGGCTATAATATGATTCTAAATTAAATTTTAGATTTATGATGAAGTCTTTTATTTAATAATT